TTCAAGCGAGCAGAACTACATGTTTCAGCTATGCTGTATTTACCAGCCATGACATTATGACAAGTAGCTGCTAGCTAGCTTGTCCATGTTCTTCAGACACTTTTGGAGGCAAACTATGACATCAGTGACCAGTTGAAGTGTTGATGTGTGGCCACTTTTCCTTTCAACAAAGTATCAGGTTTCCCGAGTTGAGCTGAAATGATGGTGAACGACGCGGCGCAACGTCTCCTTTGTCCACTTTATATATCTGATATTTCTTTTACCATGTAAGTATTCATCAAGATGAGTGATACTTCAACTGAGCAGCATTCTGCAAAAATCAAGAGTTCAATTGGATCTCTCTTTTTTTTGGCTTAACGAGATGGCATCTGATAGGAAAACAAGAAAGGGAAGATACTTCTGTATAAATAAAGTATTTCATTCACGAATTAAAGACCAACTTTAACCAATCTCTGCCTATTATCTGGTATGAAAATCCAATGATATCAAAGCAAAAAATTTAGATAAGAAAGTAGACAGCAAATCAGTAGCTTTCTTTGGTTAGTGTTGTCCTAATAGGCAGCATATCTGAACCTGTTCTTCCAAAATGCCACTTTACCTGATGCAAACCGATATGCCTGCTTGTGGGTATCAAACTTGGTCGGCAGGATGTTCCTCAGTTTCCTTGGCCCTATGACGCCGCCCAATATATTTCTGATTATTTGCCAACACTAACAGATGGACAGTATGAATTCATTGTCCATGTTGTTGTGGTATAGGATTCTCAAAAAAAGTTCAGATTCTGACATTGTCAGTAATGACAAAATGTAGCAATACTACTTTAAACAGCTAAGAAAGTGACATAATTTTTTTCATCTCTTTATTATCACATCCTAATCTCCTGTCTAATAAGCTCTAGTGCACATAGGCATACAATACTGAAAAGCAGAAATTCTTTTGAAGACCACTACATACAAGAATCTGTTCCTTGTGAAGATTATACCCTACTCTTTCTCATAGTTGGATGCAAACCAATTGCATTTCATTAGATGCTATTAGATGATGTACTATTAAGAACCTTCGACCAGTGTATATCATGTACTGCATCTATTCTTCCAGAACCACCATGGGCAGCTTCCTGTCATGAACACCATTAGTTACTGGTAGGTGGTTCGACATTCCACGTGAGCTGCCAGTAGTTCTCCATGCTGCATTTGTTCCCTGCCGGAGATGCTAACGGGATTACAAGATCAGGTGTAATATACTGAGTATAAACGGATTTATTGTTCTCAGAATTTTTCAGTGCTATTTGAAGATAATGAATGGGAATTACTGATATTGTTGATGTCAAACAAGATATATAGCTACCAGAATGGCGTAGTCTGTTTGAAGTCTGAACAATTCATCCGATAAATTCCCGGACATGATAATTGAGTAAAGTCATGGCCATAATATGCCATAGAATAAACTATTTTTCCTTTGACAACTAAAAGTCTATATTGTGCAAATTTCATTTGACTGCTGATTGCTGATCATAAATTCCTTGCCTTTTTCTATTTATTTAGATTTAGATTTTTTTTTGTAACAATTCTGTGCATAGGTACTTTACATGATCATTGAAGGATTTGCCCAACCCTATTGTGTAAAGGAGATTCGCTTTTCAAATCCCTTGCAGACTACAACACACTAAGTGCAAAAGCAAATGTAATATGCCTAGAATAATCCCAAATATATCTTGAATGTCCAATCGACAGTTTTGGGATTTCTTGTTTTATACTGTTTATATAGCTTCCTAAGCCATTTTCATCGTGCGGATCGAACATGTGCTAACTACTGCAGTACTGGCAGAATTGATAAAAGTTTGGATATCCATTGCTGAAGAATATGTTCGCAACTTCTGGTCTGGCACGCTCTTAGCGAATCGTGCCTGGGCACGTTTTCATTAAGGGCCTGCTCGGTTCCTAGGGATTGGTGGCCTAGAACTATTCCTAGTTGGATTGCTTGTTTAATTTGTATAACCTTTGATGAGCTGAAATGATTCCTGGCTGCAATCCTAACTAACAGAACAAAGCCTTAGAGGGACGTGAAGCAGCCTACATGCTGTGTATTTGATGAATCTGTGTAGACTTAGGTTACAAATAGCTTTACATTACATATATCTTTAAACATAACCCGCATCTGGCAACAAGAAGACAAAATAGTATCAACATGGCAGAGGAAAACGACCGAAAACGGCAGTTCCTGCCTAAATCTAGAGAAGTTGCTTATCCACAATCCTCAACGGAAAAATAATTGAGTAGTCTCGATTCGGATTAGGAAACCAAATACAATTGAAAAGAATCAAAATTGGATAGAATATACAACTTCTAGAAAAAAAACTGGCCTAGGCCGGTTTAGCAACCGACCTATTCCCGGGGAATAGGTCGGTTGCCAAAACCGCCTAGGCCAGTTTCTCCAGCCTACCTGCGAGGCTAGGCTGGTTTTGGCTGTCCAAATCCAACTCTAATCTAATTTAACAAGAACTGCTTATTATCCGATATCTCATTGGAAACTTGCAGATTTTTTTTTGAAAAAGGATTTCTATACTAGGATAAGACTATACCATCTATATATATTAGAGGATCATAGCCGATTGAGGTAATCCCTACACAATCGACCAAATCACAAATCAATCTACTTTGTACCTCTGTTGTCCTATTCTCTTCCAATCTCCATATTGTTGTTCATCTCTTGATCCAATGACCAAGGGTGACACCCTAGGTTTGCTGACTGATTTAGGGCAAACTGATGACATCCTTACTCAAACATGGTCTCACCCAGGCAAGAGCTTCAATGGCTCCTTTGCTAGTGTGTCTAGAAACTAGTCATTCTTCATAACATAAGCGCGATAGCCGATAGATATCCTTTGCTAGTTTGCCTGTAAACCATGCCTCTTTTCATCGTGTAAGCGTGATAGTTGTCGTTGCATTCTTCGGACCTTTTGCAACCCATGCGTTCTAGCACTTTAGGTGTGGCACCGATATTCACGTCAACATACTTTTGACGACTCCACTAAGGAACGATTGTTTCGGCTCTACCTTACTTTAAACCGAAAGAAATGTGGAATTAAACTTCAGTCTAACCTTGACTCCACCCCTCTATCTACGTTCACAAGCACCTTAAAAAGGGTCCTAAACAAGTTAAACTAAGGTGTTGTGCTAGAGGGCACTCACCTAACAGTTCTAGTTAGAAAGAGTTAGAAGGTCACATAAACCAATGCCACTAATCAACTAAGCACACTAGAAGCTCCTACACATACTAGTGAGCACAGGCACAAAGCAAGCTACACTAGTACTACTCACTAATTACACTACACAAGCACAACTAGAGAGCTACAACTACTTAGCTACACAAGCTAAACTAAGCTATTTAGCTACACAAGCTAAGTAGCACAAGAGAGCAACCAAATAACTACACAAGTTAGCAACCACACAAGTAATGAACAAGTAAATATAAGCTAGTGATAGGGATATTCAAACCAACATGACAAAGTTGACACGCGATTTTTATCCTGAAATTCGGTGGTTTGTCAACCACTTAATCCCCGTTGAGGCAAGCCCAAGGCTGTCGTTGATCCTCTTGCTAGCGGTGAGCCCACAAGCTAAACCTCTTCACCAAAGGGAGTGCTCACAACTAGAACTCTAATACTTGGTCCACCCGGACCACTTGGCGCTTTTCACACCTCGTTTCTACTAGAGTTGCTCTTCATGATCTCCAGCAGGGCGAGCACAACACCCTTGACAATGCAGTCTCTCTAGAGCACCGCACAACCTCCGTGCATGCTACGATGGAAGACAAGCCTCTAAGCCATCTAGGAGGTGGCAACCTCCAAGAGTAATAAACAATCCGGCTTGCAACACAAACACCTAGTGCTACTTGATGCAATCGCTCAATATGCAACGCACTAAGAATCACTCACTCACTTTGACATATGAACTCTACCAATCACGAGTTAGTGGGCTACAACGCTCCACAAAGGATAGACACAAAGTCCCCAAGGTGCCAAGCACCCCCCCCCCCCAATGGTCGACCACCTCATCTATTTATAGAGAGTCCTCCAACTAGCCATTTGGGGGCTGAACTCGTGCCTCTGTATGCCCGACGGTTGGACCGCTAGGCCGAACAGTCCAATCACTAGACCACCAACGGTCACCTAAAATGCCTCCAACGGCTAATGACTGTGGAAGGCCCCACACGTCAGTCTCTGATCGGGTGTCCAACCACCGCCTGCACCAGTCCGACCATGAAGCAAAATAGCCGCCACCAGAGAGGATTAGCCTACCATCGGGTTGGTCCAGTGGGACCAACCGGAGCATGCACTATGCCTCCTTTTGAAATTGCCATGCTCATCATAGGAGTAACTGTCTAAACGGTGATTTAGAGGGCCTAGGTCAGAGCACTAAAAATGGAGTCTCTAGGAATGATTTGTGTGTCCACCTAAATTTCGGAGCTCAAGTAGAGATCCTAGGAGTACAGTTTTTGGCGCCCTACTAGAGTGCTCTAAGGTGGACAGGTTACGGAGCGCCGCTGGAATTTAGTGACGTAAGAGTACTCCACAGTGGTACTCCTATTTATCTGGTTTTGATCTGTAGTGATCGGCTGATTATTGCCCATGAATCCCCGATCCAGCCTCAGCCTGTTGTATATGTACTGCACATTACGATGAATGGAACAGAGCATTCAGTCCTTTTTTACTCTTGGCATGTAAGGTAAACAACCAAACAGAAAACGTACTTCGTGCGCCATTTCTTTTCCTTCTTCAGTCGTTGACCACGAAGACCTGGTGTGCTCATAGTGGTATACCATCTACAGCCCTTATTAGCACAAGAAGATACCACGGCTGACGCTTGTTCCGCTTATCTCTCACAATACAAACGGTACCTGCCACCTCTGTAGAAAAAAACACTAATTGCACAGAAAGAAATGCATTTTTCACACTTTCATAATACGAAAGTTAGGAAGCCAAAAAAAGAGAGCCAAAGCTATAAACAGAATATCGTGCCGAACATGTGGTGCATCTTGCTGAAAAACTTGACAGGATGGTGGTGCCCATGGTGGTGCGCCTGGGGTGGTGACTGTGGCTGCTTCTTCCTCCTCAGCTGGAAGAACTGCTGCATTATTTCTGAGCACTCGGCCGACAGCACACCACGCCTGATGGTTATCTTCGGGTGGAAAGGGTGGACAGGCCCTGCAGCCTTGCTCTGGTTTGTTGAATCCAGAGTGCTTGTTTGTCCATCCCCAGGGAACAGCCTGTAAAACAAGTGTGTGAGCAGCTCTTCTTGAGCTTTCTAACATCATGATGTGTCAATGATGTTGGGTCAACAAAAGCAAATGGAATAGGGAAACCCTCTCCATTTTAATTGGGACTATCCTTGTATACAAACTCTGTGTACAAATACAGTTTCCATCTAAACATTGAGGACCAGAATATGCATCGATTTGATTTGCACACAAGGCATATAGTAACAATGAACAGCCCACGGTGGAGATCATTGACAAACCAGCAGCTGTTTATAAACACTACAGTATACCATGGGCATTTGTTTTAGTCAACTAATGCATATAATAATTGATTGACACTAAACCGATTGCAGAAGCGAAAAAGAATAGTTTAACCCTCAATTGCTTTTGTTTCTAGATGGGGTTATCAAGGGTTGGCCAAAATGAAGGAACTGAACAGCATCAGGGACACTTCAGCGCTTCAACATTTTTAACTGATTTCCATATTCAATCTAACAAAAAATTTAACTGATCTTATAGTGAGCTGTAAGAGCATAAAAGCTACCCTGGTGTAGCATATGCTATTTTTATATAAAAAAAATCAACAGACTAACTTCAACTTCTCTTAACTAGGCCGTCACTTCACTTGCATCTGCCACTAGGTTGCAGTGAGCGTTCACTGCATGCAGTAGCAGCAATGCCCACAACCAGGGCCCTAGATCTCATTATGTACAGATTACTATGAAATTCCAACTATGGTATATCACATACCTAACCCAGCTTCCATCAGCTCCCAGAAGCTTGTTTGGGGCACCCCATACCACAGTATCGATTCTAGCTTGAAGAATAGCACCAGCACACATGGCACAAGGTTCCAAAGTCACATAAAGCATTGTATCCTGCAATACTTTAGATTATGAGATTTCTAAAATAGCAAATTAATACATACATAAACCATAAACACAAAAGATTTCATAAAAATGTTGTGCATTCGTGGTCAGAAAGTTCTACACTTAAAAAAAAAAGGGCGTACCCAATGCAGAGAGCTCCCGCTTTGTGCGGGGTAAAGTGGATTTTTATTTCAAAAAGGCATACAAAGAAAGATAGTTCATGGTGTCCTTATGAAGATGAAAAGCAATATCCTTCTGAATTATAAATTTTAAAGTAATGTGAACTGAAACAAACATTGAGCAAAGCCTAAGGCCATGACAAGCCCATATCTATGAACTAATATCTATAGCATGTAAGTACATGTATTATCAATTTGATAGCTATCCATCTCAAGTGCCATAACCAGTTTGAGATGATCTCACAAAGACAAATAAAGATATTATACAAAAGATAAATGATAAAGTATGAAGGGATATATTTTGTAATGCTTCTACAGTTACGCAAAACAGCAAGCTATGGGTGTGAAATAATACCGCTAAGCGCCATGTCTTGAGTTTGTTAGAAGCCTCTCTTATACAAACAATTTCAGCATGCGCAGTTGAATCCCTGAGATCTTCAACTCTGAATACAAGCAGGGCACAGAACAATTAGCAAAATAAATATTTCAATTTTTAAGTTTATGCTTAGCTATATAATATGATATATGATATAACTTACAGATTACAACCACGAGCAATAATTTCGCCATTCTGTACTAGCACTGCTCCAACGGGTACCTCCCAAATATCTGCAGCTCTCTGGGCTTCAAGTAAAGCTTCCCTCATGAATAACTCATCAGCCTTTCTCTGCTCAGCATCACGCTGGTATGCTTCCTCCCATTCATCAAATGTATCCTTCAATACCTGTTTATTTCTTTGAAACATTCTCCTTTTCAATTCTGTATCTTTCCCTCCTGTTTTAATAATTTGCGGGGCCTCTTGCACGACATTCTTCTCTTCAAACCTTTTAGAAACTCCCACAGGTAACACTGGTGGTCCAAGGATACCAGTTGAGGTATTCTCATGTGGCATTACTGCTTGCGTTTGAGGATCATGATTAGGAGTTATAGCACCTGAAGGATCATATATCCAATCAGCTCCATCACCACTGCGACCAGCTTCCATTTCACTGATGGTCACAGAAGAGCTGCCAGCCAACATTCCTTTCCCAGTAAAAAACTCACCAGAACCCTCTGTTGTGATCCTGGAAGTAGCAGTTTTGTGTTCGGGTAAATGTCCTATCGTGATATCTAGCAAAGTTGGAGTGCTATCATCTATGCTATTTCCTTTGGGTAATTCACCAACATCTGATTGTTTTATTCTCTCCCCTGATATATGTAGATCATCCATAGAACTTGTAGGCAACAAGTCTCCCTCAGATCTACCTACTTGAGGTTCAATAACAACAACAACAACAACAAAGCCTTTAAGTCCCAAACAAGTTGGGGTAGGCTAGAGTTGAAACCCAGCAGAAGCAATCAAGGTTTGCACGAACAAGGTTCGGCTAGGCGGCGATTACGCTGCACCTACGTCGACGCGAATAGGGGCATAGTGTTTGGAGGCTTGCAAGGCCACGAGACCAACCAGCAGGGGAGGACTCCAGCAGGCCAGCGCCACAGGCGGCGAGATCCCGCCGTCTAAGGCTCCTCCTCTGCTCGTCCCCTCTCGTCCCCCAACTTTGGGTATATTCTCCATCCTTTCAAGTGACGCCGCCTCCTTGAGCCACGCCGCCGCCGCCTCCACCGCTTCGACACTTCCCTGGCACCGCCCGCTTCTCCACCGGCCGGAGGCAGGAAGGCCCCGAAGTGCAAGTCAAGCATGGCGCCCTCGTCCCGTCTCTCATGGTCATGGCCTCCTGCTCTCCTTCGCCTCGGTGCAGTGCAGTGCGGTGGGTGCCTCTGCCTGCCTCCTGGCTGGAGTTGGAGCAAGTGGCGAGAGCACGAGGAGGGCGAGAGGAGAGGACGGGATGATGCAGAAGCGCGGGGGCTCGCCTCGTGTGCTAGGTCGCCACGCAAGATGGTGCTTCTTGCCGCGTCTTATTGTACTTCTGGCTAGGCTGTTCGCCTACACGATATTTTCGTAGTGTTTTGATAAGTCATTTATATTTTTTTTTAATGAACAGCTAGCTGTCTATTGACTAATTTACTAACTAGTAGTGTCAAAATGGGTTGCGAGGAGCTAGGAACATGCAAAACTAAGCCGATTTAGGAATCGATATATGTCGGCCTCTCTTTTTATAGTTATATACCTATATCTCTAGGACCGATTACTCCCGTTAGGCAAGCTATATTCTTCAACTTTGCACGTGAATAGCTATTTTCCAAGCACTCCTATCTAAGGCTAAGTCTTTGGGTATATTACATCCTTTCAAGTCTCCTTTTATTGCCTCTACCCAAGTCAACTTCGGTCTTCCTCTGCCTCTCTTCACATTACTATCCTGGCTTAGGATTCCACTACGCACCGGTGCCTCTGGAGGTCTCCGTTGGACATGTCCAAACCATCTCAACCGGTGTTGGACAAGCTTTTCTTCAATTGGTGCTACCCCTAATCTATCACGTATATCATCGTTCTGAATTCGATCCCTTCTTGTATGACTGCAAATCCAACGCAACAGACGCATTTCCGCACTTGAGGTTCAATAACAGTTTCTGATATTTGCAAACCATGCGTACCAGTGTGCAAATATTCCTCATTTGATATTGAAGTCACTCCAGATTCTTGTTCACCACCATGCAACTTTATCAACTGCTGATGTTTTGCGTTGGTACTGCCATTTTTCTTCTTTGTGCCATCGTTATCACGTTCCTGACTAGAAAGCCAACCCTCTGTGCTCTGAGAATTATTAGATGAACTTTTGTTAACTAATTTGTGACTAGAATCATGGGAGTCACCACGTTGAATAAATCCAAGACGGATTATATCAGCAACATAAGCCCAGAGTGACTTGTGGACTTTCCTAGCAAGAGCAGATTCATTTTTGGGTGTCTGAGAGGCAGAATTGGTAGCTCCATCAGCTGAGGAACCTTCCTCCTTGTTGGCCGTCTTGAAGGTCTCTTGAGAAGTACTCTGGACATCCCACATTTCATCTGCTGGTCCTTTTGTTCTAGACCTTGGTGATGAGCTTGCTATACCTTCCACTATGGATTTCTCATGTTTCTTTGTTGAAGTAACGTCTGCATCTGAGACCCCCTTTTGGAGCTCATCAACAAACCATCCAACAAGAAAGGTAGATGATTTCTCTAATCGAGCAGCTGATTCTAGCATGCTTTCCTTGACAGACTGTCTGGCACTTGAACCACTTGGTAAACTACTTCCTGCAGTAGTCTCACTCCTTACTTCTTGTTCATAGCTTCCCATTGTTGCTGCTTGTTGTCCCATATCCACATTAGTCATAGATGATGCCTTTTCGGTGCTTTCTATGAGCAAACCAGCAATGTTTTTATCCTCAGAGATCCTGCTGGTGTCTGCCTGCTGCCAGATCAAATCCATGTTATGATGTGTATCCTGAGAGGATTCAGGAAAAATACTTCTTGCTTCATCATCTTGTTCTGTATTAGAAACTTGTGTAATTTGCTGACCATTCTTGCCTTGTCTCTCCCTTGACCAATGTACAGTTGATGCCTTATGAACTTCATTGCCATTTCTAGTCACAGGACCTTGTGAACTGCTAACTGTAGCATCACTAGCATGGATCTTAGCAAAATCAATTTGTTCTTTCATACTGCCAATTGCTACAGCTGAAGGTGATTGACATGGGTCATCAGTTCTGGTTTGGAGATGACTGCCTGAAGTGCTAGCTACAACAGCATTACTAGCATTGGCAATATTAAGTTCAGCTTGTTCTTGACTTTCCCTTTTGTTGTCAGCAATATTAGTCGATGGCTTTGAGTGAAACGGATCATACAATCCAGTCTCAAGATGACTTTGTGAACCCCTAACCATGGCACTATCATTAGCAGAGATCTTATTTTGGTACCCTTCTTTTTCCTGGCTTCTTGTTCTATTAATGAAATCCATACTGGAAGATAAGTTCATGTCTGATCTAGTTTCCAAGTGACTTTGTGAACTCCTAGATGTAGAAGTATCACTAGCATGGACCTTCGAAATATCAACATGTGTAATATTCTGCACGTCTATATCTGCTTCATGTATCACTTGTTGGTTTACAATCCTCTTCTTATCTCTTGTAATATGAGTTATATTCTGTAAGGAAGTAGAACTGTCATCAATATCTGTCTGGTTTATTTCATTATAATTTCTCAGCGAGTGAGAGGCCCTGCTGACATTGCGACTGCTATCAGTTGTTACATTGAGGTTCTCTGAGTTTTTCCTTGAATCAGTGACTGAGACCAAGTTCTGATTCACCTCATTATGCTGATCAACTTGTCTTCTACTATCACTAGCCATCTTCACAGAATTTTGAACAGAAGATGACATATTCTTAGCATAGTTTTCTCTATCTTCCTGATGATAGCGCTGTGCTCTTGAATCTTGTTCAGTGCTATTATCTTGGACTTCTGATATCTCCATTATCTTCTGTGAGCTGTTCCTTGAACCATCCTTATGTACTGCAGCTTGCTGATCATGTTTGCTACCGTGCTTTAAAATGGATGTGTTCTTTGAAGTGGATGTAAACCTAGTATCATCCTCAGTTATAAACTTGTCATCTTGTCTTCCTATCCTAGAATCTCTTACTCTCACAAACTGCGCATCATCATAATCATATCTATCTCTCTCATCATTTGACCAAACAGCTGAACGTCGTCAGTCCCTCTCTTCAGATATCTGCTCAGTTCGTCGACCTACATTGTCATGCCACCTCACACTTGAGGTTGAATTCTCCTTCTGCCCTGTATGTCTAGCATCGAATGTGCTCCTAAAATTTGAAGCCCTCTTTGAATCATCCTCATGCAATGAAGATGCTCCTGCAGACTTTTGAGATCTCACCCCAGAGTAGTACCTTCGGTCAGCAAGATCTTGCTCGTCGTACTCAATCTCTTTGTCATTCCAATGACGTGATCTCAAGAGTGAAACATCCTCTCCATCTGTATCTTCACTTCTTCTCTGGTGCCATGAAACATATCTGTGGTCATTGCCATGACGCCTGCCTTCTCTCCTCATCTCAACCTTACCATCAATCTCAAAATCCCTACTCTCTCTTCTCCGATCAAATCCTCCTACATCCTCTGCATACCGACCAGCCCTCCTGACATCGACCACATCATCAGAGTTAAAATCCCTCCTCTCTTCTGCGGTTATATTCCCTGCCATCATCACAGTACCTTCTAGTTTCAACATTCCTTGTGTCAACTGCATCATTGGATACAAAATTCATCGTATTCCTCCCTTACCATCTCTGCCTTCGCCGCGTAAAGTCAAGATCATCCTCATCATCATAGTACTCACTTTGCTGCCGCTGCCTCCGGTTAGAATCTCTGAAACCGTGACGGCCCTCATCAAGATCGCTCCTCTCTCTACGCCGACCACTGTGCACCTCCTCACCACTGTAATAGCTTTCTAGGCCCTTCCTCCGACAGCAAACCCTACAATGACCATCCCCATCATCAACATCATCATCTTCCCATCTCCTACTGAAACGCATCCCATCTACCTCCAATTGACCATAACCGCAATCCTCATCTTCCTCCTCCCAATCATCAAGGCATTCCGTCGAAGACCTTCCGTGCAGCCACTGGCCGCCCTCATACTCCCACACCTCCTGCCGCATCGACCTCCCCACCAACCTCGGCACATCCCGCCGTACGCAACCAGCTCTAAGCAAGGTCCCACCACCGGAGCTGCCGCAACGGCACTCGGGCGCTTTCAATCGCCGGCGGACCGCCCTAAGATCCGGCCTCCCAGCGCCACTCCCACAGCAACAGCACCCGCGCGCCTCCACCTGACAACAGACCTATCCAGCCATCTGCCTTCCACCACCGCCGTCGCGGCAACATCGTATGGGAGCTCGCCGGCGGCAGCATCGGGGTGCATACGGGTGCGGCGGCGGGGGCCGGAGCCGCGCGGAAAGTAGCAGGAGGTGGGCCGAGTGGCGGAGCAGGCAGCCGTCGAGCAAGAAGCGTGGGGCGAGATACGGGCTCTGCGGGATGAGCTAGTTGTGGTAGCGGTGGCGGTGCTCGTCGGCGTCGTCGCGATGGCAGAGGGGGGAAGGTGGGTAGTAGAAGTAGGAGTAGGAGTAATGGGCGTGCAAGGATGGCTTTTAGCGGCCCTCAGCGCGAAGGCGGCGGCGGAGTAGGGACTGTACATGGCAGCGGAAAGAGGATTGGCAGCGGACACCGGCTGCTGCCTTGTCTCCGGTTCCGGCGACCGCTGGAGTATAGTGGGGGTTTGGGTGGGATGCAGCTGGATGTGTGTGTGCGCCCCCAGTGCCCGTGTTGAAAAGCTGTGGGGATTGTTGTAAAACATACCTACTTTATTCTACAAAAGAAAAAAAAAAAAAAAGAGTAATTTTAGTCCGGTTATACGTGGGTTCTTACCAAATTCTTAGACTTTGATAGGGCTATATATATATTGAAACTCTATTTTATAATTATCAATATTTAAATAAATAAATAATAATCTCTCTATCTCTTAAGTTTATGTGTTCTACTTTCATCTTCTTTGTTGATCATGAGAGATGGAGAGGAAAAGGTTCTAACCGCTGACAACATGTTTTATAACACATGATCCACACGACAAGCTCTCTTCGTCGACATCGCCGTTGAAGCCGTTGTCGATCTTCGCTGACGCTTGTACGTCGACATCCCGACGTTGTTAGCGGAATGGATCTGCTACCTCTACCTACTACTAATCTGCACTGCATCGTGCATCGTCACTGTCAAGCAGACAGTTCTACGGCAATGCCAAACGCCCTACGCGGTATGTATCTACTAACCACTGTCCTACGCGACACGTGAGGTAGATCAAATTGACACCCTCTATTAGGTATGAAAGAACCAAATCTTGCAGATTGCATTGTCTCGACCATCGAGTCAGACTAACTTTTTGCACTAATTATTTTCTACACATAGTAGATATATGTACAAGAAGTACTCCCTCAGTCTCAAAAAGACTAACGTTATGGGATGTCTGTCGGTCAAATTTTTTCAACTTTAACTAAATTTGTACGAAATACGTGCAACATTTATATCTTCAAATAAATTTATTATATGAAAGTATATTCAATGATCTATCTAACTATACTAATTATATATTATAAATATTAATATTTTTTATATATAATTGGTTAAAGTTCAAAAAATTGACTTCTCATGAAAAAAAAATAATTTCTATTTTGGAACGAAAGGAGTACGTGCATAAATATGTAAAAAACAATTGCATCAACGGAGAATTGCATCTGGGGTTATTAATAAAAAAAACATATGACCTCTTCCTGGCTTCACGCCATCAAGTCCGCTGCACGGTGTTCAGATCCTGCGTCAGCATGTGCACGTCAGCACGTGTGCAAGGTTACCTACGAGATGCATACTCCAGGTGCTAAGACTATCTCCAACCACGCCGACCCAAATACAAGATGTATACCATGATTTGGGTCGCCTAGAGGCAAAAGGTCACACACCCAAAGCATCTCTTCTCCAACAGCCAACTGAAAAAGAAAGGAGCGCCCGAGCCGCCATGGACCCGCCGCGCCGCAGCCCTGCAGCGGAGGAGCGCCCTAGCCACCATGGACCCGGCAGCAGCCCTGCAGCGGAGGACGGACAAACGGGACGGCATGAGCGGCATCCGGAACGACGACGGCAGCGGGGCCGCAGACGAGCGCGGCCGTGAGCGCTACCTACGCGACGGAGGAGAGGAGCCGCGTCCGGATTGGTGCCGCTGCTGGAGCCGGCGGAGGACCTAGCGGCCTCTTGTCGCCGCCACTCATGAATCTAAATGAGCGCCCCGTCCTTCCCCGGCCCTTTGTTGCCGCGACTTCGCCGCCGCCGCGCACGACATGAGCTCCCCCGCTGCTCTTTTCACCGCACGATCTCGCGTCTGCCGCCGCCACTCTTCTTCTTGTGAGCCAGGAGGTCGTCGCCGGGCCAAGGCATCCGTATTTGGGGCCCATAGTGGAGGAGCAGCCACAGCCACCGGCTCGAAGAAGGAGTCCTCCCCGCCGTGGTCCGCCTGACCGCGCTCCACCGTGGAACCACCTCACCGTGGGCACGCCTCGCCGAGCCGGCCGCACCCCGACGCAGACCCGCCTCGCAGCGCCTGAGATTTGAGCTGAGGAGAGAGAAGACGGAGGGAGGACGCAGATTTGGCTGCCCTCTCTCCTCCTACGCAAAATAGCTGCTCGGAATGCGTACTCTCTTTAACGCCGTTCTTTTTGTGGGCGTGATGTATTTTGGGTATGGGTCGTTATATGGGTAAGCTTTTGGAGACAGTCTAATGGGCCTGAATGCTCCTGCAGCACATTAATGGTAATTAGAAAATTCAAGAAGAAATTCTATGTGAAGTTTGAATATTACGTATTTTATATATTTGAAGTATATGATCTATTTTTTATGTATGAGTAATTGGATTAATTTTTTAGCTAAACAATAAAGAAGCTAGAAAATAAAATAGTTATCTAAACTATGATATGTATAAATCAGGGGGAGAACATCCCTGAATGTTGAACATTTTAAGTGCATTTTATGTATTTTACTCGCTGCATTTAATGAATACTAACCCCGTATTTAAATATGTGCGTGAATATTTCCTATAAAACATCATCATAACATACATGAATGAGCATCCACTTGTACTTGAAGATACATGAATTTTAATTATTTTAAACCCATGATAGGGGATATCTTTTAAAGTATGCTATTAAAGATCTAATATTGGCATTAGGGGAGAGAAAGCATATTTTGAATGTCAAATATTATTTCCACGGAAGGAAAATAATCATAAGAGAAAAATATTCTTTAAAGCTTGAAGCAGGAATAGTATCACGCATTAAATCAAACAATAGTTTGACTAATGCTCTTGTGAAGCATGAAGCGGAGCATATGCCAGATATTTTTAAAAATAAGAGGAATAATTTGAAGTTATAAACCAGATGTTATGTTTACTAGTAGTAAACTAAATATTGTATACTATCAAGCTAAAATCTACGAGGACGTCTGTGGATTCTAGTTTATTATGTATTTGTTAAATAAATAAGAAAAAAAATCATCCATTCTCATGAACACCTCATGAAGAAGAGTTAAGCGCCTCATGAAGAGGATCATCATGAAGATGAAATCCAACACACTAGGCGTGCGCATTGTTAGTGTTTGGTATGCAGAACAACAAATCATCTCTTGTTTAGAAAATGACAGAGATAAAATAATATCACATTGTGAGAATATTGAAAGAAAATAATAGTTGTCGACAACACTACCTCTACAATTGTAAATGTTTCTCTTAAAAGGATTAAGATGCCCAAGAGGGAGGTGAATTGGGCTAATTCTAAAATTATTTGCAATAATTAAACCCTTACATTTAATCCACTTTACCCCTTGTACCTAGAATGTGATTTTATTAATCTACCGCACAAAAGTTTAGCATCCTAAGTTCTAATCCTACTCTAGCATTGTAATTCTAAGAATATAAAGACAAGAAATAAATTGCTCAAATGTAAATGCTTAAAGTAAAGAGAGGAGAAAAAATGCGGCGATGTTTTTCCGATGTATCGGAGAGTCGCCACTCCCCACTAGTCATCGTTGGAGCACTCACACAAGGGTGTAGCTCCCCCTTGATCCGCACAAGAATCAAGTGCTCTCTACGGGGCTGATTCTTCGACAATCCGTCATGGTGAATCGCCCACAACCGCTCACAACTCGAGTTGGGTCATCCACAAGCTCCGCCGGATGATCACCAAACTCCCAATCTCCACCAAGTCGTCTAGGTGATGGCGATCACCAAGAGTAACAAGCACGAACTCTCACTTGACCATAACAAGCCTAATGAGAAGGGTGGATGCACACTTGCTACTCTCCTTGCACTAATGAGGCCTTAATCTTAGATTCTCAAATCTCAATCACCTCATTAGACTCTTGCTCTCCTTAGCACTCTCAAGGGTGTTTCTCAGCTGAACAAATGGGCAAGAGACCTCCTTAAATGAATAGAGAAAGTATTTATTGCCTCTCATTCAAAACGAACCGTTAGGAGGTTGAGTCAGCACTCTACGGGGTGACCGGACGCTTCGGTCAAGGTGACCGGACGCTCCGGTCAGTTATTCCCGCCACAGAGCCGTTAAGTTGTGACCGAACTCTAACCTGCGTCATGTCAGCACTGACCGAACACGTCCGGTCACGAAAACTACTCTCTGGAACCTTACTGATGTTGACCGGACGTTAGCACCTAGAGTCCGGTCACTTCACTATTCAGCGTCCGGTCAGTAACCAGATCCTGGCCAACGTCCGGTCAGCATTGACCAGACGCGTTTGATCAGGAAACTCCCTCTCTGAAACCTTTCTGGAGTTGACCGGACTCTGGCACCCAGCGTCTGGTCACTCTTCACTCAGCGTTCGATCGTAACCAGACGGCTCTAGTTGATCAAATGAACTGACCGGACTCACCCTTCAGCGTTCGGTCACAACCAGACCAGCGTCCGGTCAGTCATTTGACCCTCCATTCACTTCTAACTCGAAATCATATGTGAATGAAGTTTGCTCCAATTGATCTTAGGGCTACTGCGGAGCTACCTATTGCTAGATTTGACAAGTGTGCACCACACCTAACCCACTAGACTCACCTAGG